AGTGAATTTCTATTCTCTGATTCATAAGGACAACTCTGTGATTATCGCGACACAGACGTACAATCGATATAAATATCTATTCGGGTTTATTTTTATCATCACTCTGATATTTTTAACGATTTATGTATTTATAAAGACATCGTGCTTGTATTCTAATTAAATAGGCAGGAGAAATATTTCGCAATTGCCAGAAAGAAGAAAAAAATTAGAAAAATCTTATTTTTATATCTACTATAATTAACTTTCCGTAGGATAAATTATAGTAATGAGCCGAAAATCGAAAATGAAAATTTTTGCATATCTTTAAATTTTTTTTGTATGTCGAAAATAATTCATATTTCAATTTTAATTCTGGCCAAAGTTGTAAGACTCACTTATATACTATAAATAAATAATTTTAACTTCGTATTTTAGTTTATATAATTCTTATCAATATTAAACAATGTTACAGTAATTATAATAATCTATTTGAAAACATTTAATATTCCTCGAACATTTCGTTGTGGTATGGGAAGTTCTAACACTTTTCCTTAAGGCACAATGCCATACATCACTAGTTTTATATTATACTTCAAACTACATTCTAAGTATTAGTCTTATATTTAAGGACTCAATATTTTATCATCACAAATTATATTATCATGGCGAAAATATATGCCATCAGTGAAAGAAATATTACATAAAAAAAATAACGACATATATTGTAAAAATTAAAACATTTGGAAATGATTTTATTCTATTGAAGTATAATGAGATTTGCAGCAACAATTTATATTTGAACTTGAAATTAATCTTATTGCGAAATTCCACTGCTAATTCTAAAATCGTCAAGGTTTTATGGTTGATATGATACATTACAGATCTACCTATATTACAACATGCTGCGTATATTAGAAAATAATATGATAGGATATATATATATATATATATATATATACAGGATAGGAAGGGGAACAAAGATCCAATTTGACTTTGAGCAATTATTGTTTGTTGAAAACCAAACCAATTATATCACAGCAAATAACATAAATCAAATATGTAACTATCTGACTATGTTCAGAAAACTCCCAGCTAATTCATCATTCTAGATATGTTTTTTTTTTGCTATTTTTCAACAATTGTGGTGACACCTGGTGCTTTTTTGTACCCCATAGATGGGGTAAATTGGATAGCCAGTGGGGCCATAAAATCCACCATTTTATTTTTAATTTCAAAATTACCCACCATTTTATTTTTAATTTTAAAATTATAGAACAATGGCTATATTATTCAAACGATGCTATGCAGTTTAAGTATTAGGTTGAACAACAAAATTGAAAATCATAATCAAAAAGCAATTATCATATTTTACTACATCATAAATTTTGCTTTGGCAGTTATTTCTGTTTAATTTATTATAATCAGATTCATTGTTAGTTAGTCATCAGAGATAAATAGAGCTTTTATTTGAAATACATATTTTCTGGGCACATTTTTTATAAAGATCGCACTGAATTTACCATCAGAGTTGAAATAACTATTAATTTGATTTTTTTTTCTTAAATAGCATTTTTCGAATTATTTTACATTTTTATTTACTATTTTCTTATTGTTTACACTTCGTCTGTGTAAGGGTTCAGGTGATCTTTTTTACCCAAATTGAGGTTATATAAAATCTGTTATATATATTTTTTTAATTTCTGACTGATTACACATAATTATCCCTCTACTTTAAAATAAAACACACTTCACTTTTTCTTGAGATATTGGTGCTTGACCTGTTTTTCCGCGGACCTTTAAGCACCGCTCTACATATAGTCATCGTCAACAAAACAATATCTGAGTATTACGTTTTTTCTAATAATCTTCTTCTAATTATTAATTTACAATGCTCGACTGTCAAAATTACGAATTGTGACTAAATTGCTAAGATTTAGATGCGTTCAGGCTTTGCCAAACATCATGAGAAATAATTACATTGAGACATTATGAATCTGTTCTCGTTATTGTACAATATTGGCTAATATTCAAACAAAATTAGCACACACAACATATCACATTCCTGAGACACCAAAAATAAAACACTGACTTAAATTGATATTATTATGCGTCGACGAAAATAAGCAACTTTTGAACAAAGGAGATTTAGGTGAATTATATCGAGATAAATGCATTTTTTTAACTCTTTGTGGGGTAAGTTAATATAATCGTACGAAAATCGAAATTTAATTTTTTTGCATTTCTTCACGTTTTGAAGGTTTCTGGACATAACCTTGTGAAAAAATGATGTGTGTGTGATGGATACAATTTTTTGTCCACGTTTTCGGGCGCACGGATTAACTGATTTGAATGGTTCAGAAAACGTTCGATTACTATTGATAGGAAGATGTGCTGATTAGTTTTTGGCAAAGGCAGGTCCAGCCTGAAAGTTTTTGAGAGAACGGAGCACTCGATTTGAATGATTCGAAAAGCATTCAATTCGTAATGATGAGGAGAAGTGGTGCTTAATTTTTGGAAAAGGCAGGTTAAGCCGTTTCGAAAATACGGAGCTAAATGTACACAAAATTTCAGTTTTTGAGAGAACTAAGCATGCGTTTCGAATGATAAAAAAAAAATCTGGTTGTATTGACGAAACAATTGCTTTTGAGATTTTGTTTTTATTTCGAAATTTCAAATTTCTTTGTCCCAAAAATGTTCTTATATTTTCAAAAAATTTTAAACAGCACTTTTAACGTAATGATTTAAATAGATATATAGATTAGAGAGAAATAATTTCATCAATTTTTTCAATATAAATGAAGTTTTTAATGTAAATATAATGAATCATATGAATATAATGAAAAATGACAAACGTTTAAGAAATTTGGCGAGTCCAGCTCTTAACTTAGCAATTACATGTAAACAATATATAAATAGATTTCATCAAAATTCTAGAACAATACGGAATATGCATTTGCCAAGGAATTTGGAATTACAAATTATTTATTTTAATAATTATTAAGAAAATATTTCAGAATTTGTACGATTGTGAAAAAAATTTAAACTAGAATCGTAGATTTTGTAATTCAATTTGAATAATATTAAAAATTATGGTTTGTTTGTACGATGTTACGAATTTCTTACTAGTTGTTGTCTCTATATAATTCTGTGTATTTTTATAATTTGATGAAAATTTATTATTAGAATTATTGAATAATTTTAATTTGATATAAAACACTTTTCATACATTGTACTATTTTTTTTTCAAAATGGTTATCGTAACGAAATATTTATTATTTTTTGGCAATATTTGTTAGTAAACATTTACCTAATACAAACTTTGTCATTATATACATGCTAAGTGTTATGACTTTGATGTATCATATTTCTAATCTATATTTAAGAAAAATTTCATTGCCAGTAAATTATTGCGATGTAGTTTGAAGCCGGAATATATTAACATTATATTTAAATTATACCTTAAGTGCTGTAATTTGTTTATTATTAAATAAGCAAATTTGTTTATTATATTTTTATTAAAATTTTACAGTCAAATCGAAACGACGTGGAAATGTATTGTATTTACTCATTTTTTGATATTCAGTTTGCTAGGAAGTATCTTTACAATTTCATATTTTACTCTCCTAATTAAATGTAAATTTTAACCAATTGTGTGTGCGATTTTGGCAAGATATTCTCATCATCAGTGTGATGAAAATAAATAAATAAAATTTGTAAATAGATTAAGTGTAGCAATTTGAATCGACGATCGAAAATAAGACGGACGAAAACATGATGATCTAAAACGGGAAGGATAAAATGATAAATAATTCTAATTAAATGATTAAATGATATATTCGATAGAATAACATAATTTAACAGCTAATGGCGAGAAATTGCTGGTACTTCCCAGATTTTTCAGTTCATACTCAAGTGTCATACAACAAGTGTCTAGTAAAAACATTGTTTTATGCTTATGAGCCCGCCGTGGTGAAGCCGGTTAAGAACTTGGTCTAGAGCAAACTAGTTAGCTATTTTATACCTGCAAATGGCAATTTTTACTTATAATTATATTTGAGATCTGTAACTTCAAGTAAAAATTTGATTGAATTCAATTTGAATTCAAAAACCGTTCGAAAGATATTAGTTGGGAATCGTGCTGATTAGTTTTTGGTAAAGATCGGCCAAGCCGTTTTCTTGTAATAAAGTTTAAAAAAAAAAAATCGACGATTTTTATGATTTTTTTTTGACCGTAGATATCATAGTCTTCTAGATCATACTGAAATATTACCGACCTACGATAACTCGTTTAGCTTTAAAAATTCGTCAAAGTTTGCAAAAATTGGTAACGTTTTTTGGCATTTGTCAAAATTAGTCCTTTCATCGACGTTTGCTCAAAAACGTCTGAACCGATTTTAGAAATTTAAAAGCCATTCGATGTATCTCAATGAGCACTATAGTTTGTCAGTTTTGTGAGACGATCTGCCGAGCCGTTTCTTTGTAATTTGAAAAAGAGTATCAAACTTTTCGTCCACATTTAAGCTCATTCTACCGAATCGATTTTAAAAAATCAAAAACTGTTCGAAAGATATTAGTTGGGAATAATACTTAGTATAGTTTTAGGTGAAAATCTACCGAGCCGCTTTCTTGTAATTAACTGTTGAAAACAAATTTAAGCCGATTCTTATGAAACTTTCTTTGGCGATGGTCTCATAGAACTTACTGAAATATTACTAATAGTATTAATAAAATTGTGCTATCATGAAATTTTGGTTTACCTTACTAATATCGACTAATTTTAAATTTTGTATTTTTTGTATCAAATTTATCAATCTTTGATAATATGTATAAATTTTTGTGATTGCTAAATTTTATTTGTATTAATCATAGTTTACGCTGATTTATAAAAATAATTACTTACAAATTACTGATTCTGTTCAAATTTATTTTTAATCATATTTACTGGCAGTAATGTATTTTCTGTAATAATTTCAGTTATATAATGGTAATAATTGGTAATAAGCTAATTTTTATTTTTCTAGGTAAACTTCTGCACGATCTGTCCTCAAACAACAATAAATGGAACAACAGTTCGCAATGCAATTCGCTGCTGCAGCAGCAGGCGAATAAGCTGATACTACCGCACCATCAACACGGTCTGAACAGCATCACGAACCTCAATAATCTGAACAATCTGAACAATTTGAATAGTCTGAACAGCCTGAACAATCTGAACCATCACCACGGATCTCATTCGCATTCTCACCACGCGGCTGTGGCGGCGCTGAGCTCTCCTTTCAGTTCCCTTCTCGGTGCAGGAAGCGGAGGAGGCGGCTATCTCCTGGACCCTCTGTCAGGGGTATCAGGACTCAATAAACCTACTGCGACGGCTAATCATCTTTTCTAGACAAACGAATTTGCGAACACTTTGAATTGGTTGATAGGATACTCTATCAGTGCTATGACAAATACTCAAGGTAAACCTGGGTTTATTATTGGTGATGGTAATATTTTTATACAATAATATATTTGCAAGGTTTATGTTTTGGAATTATTTACATCAATTGGCTATAACATTTGATCGTACTTGAATGAGCTTTTCAGCTAGTTTTTGTGTTTGGGTTTGGGTGATTTTTGAGAAAATATCTCCGGCTTAAAATGGGTACAAGGCAGTGTAGATTTTATAAGAATCTGAATTAACAAACTCATTTAGATGTTTTTGTTTCAAGTTTTAAATTCAATATATACGACTTGCGATGTAATTGTCCATCCGTTTAAATACTCAATTAGTGCTAACAAGGAGAACCTCAGGTTTACTTTTCTGGGATTTTGATAAAACTTTGCATGGTGATAGAGTTGATAGTCAAACCGAAAAGTTTAAAATATTGTAGGCCTATAAGAAGTGGTCTAATAAAAAAAAATTAACTTAAGCTTAAAAACAAATTGCTGAAACTTCCCGTACCAGAATTAAATATTCGAACAAAGAAAATTAATAATCTATATAAATAGTGATCAATCATTGATAATAGTTGTTTTTAATATTTTCAAATAGATAATTATAATTACTATATACTTATTCGTTCAAATAATATACAGTGACGATCTTATCGCTCAAAACGCTTAAAAATGTTTACATTAAGAAGAGATGCCGAATGAATCCATCTGAGGATATATTTCTTATGATTACAATAACGCATATAAAATAGAGGTAAAAGTGATCAGGTTCAAATCCCGTCAGCGTATAACTTTTTTTTAAATTTTTTTATTAGTCAACTCTATTTTCAGAATAATATATTCGAACAAAAAAATTAATAATCAACATAAATAGTGATCAATCATTAATAATTGTTAAAATTATTTTCAAAGAAATTATTATAATTACTATATACTTATTCGTTCAAATAATATATAGTGAAGATCTTATCGCTCAAAACACTTAAAAATGCTTACATCAAGATGAGATGCCGAATGAATCCATTTGAGGATATATTTTTTATGATTACAATAACGCATATAAAATAGAGGTAAAAGTGATCAGGTTTAAATCCCGTCAGCGTATAACTTTTTTTTTAATTTTTTTATTAGTCAACTCTATCACCATGGTCAGTTTAATCAAAATCCCAGAAGAGTAAACCTAGGGTTCTTCTTGCAAGACAAATACTCAATGTAAACAGTAATCATGATTGTTTTAATATTGGTGACCAGAACACAATAATTTAGAGATCAAGAAAAATTTGAAAGATCATAGTACTTAAACTAGCTCTTAAGCTAGATTTTGTATTCGTATGATTTTTGAGAAAATATAAATGCTTTGGGACATCTTCGGATGAAAATCATTACAAGGCAATGTCTTAATAATTTTTATTTAATTTAAAGTTTTACTTCAAAAGTATTTAAATTATTTAAATCCACTAAATATTATTTAATCATAACCGATTGGTTTGTTAATGAACTATTTGCGTTTGTTTAAGTAAGATAATGAATAAAAAATATTGTATTGACCTGTGATAACCCAAGTTTTCTAAAATCATTTATCACGATGAAAATAACTAATTAAAAATTACTTTTCCATGATTTTTATAATATTTTTTTATATCTTGTCATACCATTAGACATGAGGGTTCTTAATTCTTTGTCTAAAGCAAAGTGATCCAGCATAATACGTCTATTTCTTTTATAAAGATTTCACAAAAATATTTTTGGATCTTATGTAAAATACTAAAACAGAATAAATGAAAAAATCTGTCCATGACTATGTAATATATAAAAATAAATACTTAGATACTACTTCATAAATATAAAACTGAAAATAATGTACATTTTATTGGCTAATTGATATCGTGTGATATTTAGAGTTGAATTTCAATATTTTTAATTTACGGAGGAAACATTTTCGACTCTGATTTCGAAATTGATCACGTTTGTATACAACATATATTGACAATATAATAAATAAGATTTAAATACATGATTTATATTTAAATCTATAGGTTGAGTATTGCGTATAAATTTTATAGCAGATAATTGAATCATAGAATTTAATACAGTCCATTTGTTTTTTAAATCTTTTATTGAATGTAAAATATTTTAGAGTAGAACTTGTACATGAAATCGAGAATATGTATAAATTTATTGAACAGAGATGATGATATTCCACATTGTAGCGTCCATATAAAAGATAATATTGTTTTGTATCATAATTAACAAATTGTATACGCCAGAAATCGCAATAGAATATATTATTGCATTTCTTGTTAAGAGAAACTTTTTGATTAGTGTATATTAGAATAATGGTGACTATAATATTATATACGAGACATTACGTAGGACTTTTTTATTTAATCTTAAAGTGACCCTATAAAAATGTTGCATAAATTCGTGTTAATATTATAATTGTATTCAATGTAAAACTGTAAATACTAAAATAAATGGCGAAGTTTTTTTTTCTAGTCAGCATTGTGAGATTACATTATTCTAATAATAATATCATAATTGTAAAATTGTGTAAAATTTGAGTCCGTAAAAATAAATCTATATATATAAATAAATAAATATATATGTATATATAATTCGAAAAACATCTTGTTATGAAAGTATACTGTTGATGTGTTTATTTTTAGGATTGGGCACTCCGAGGTGAAAATGTTGTCATATTTTATATATTTGCATGTTGCAGTTTAACATGTTTCTTATAAACGAATTCTAATAACCAAAAAGTCTTACTAAATTTTTATAATTTATAAAACTTTATAAAGTAGATATGCAACTCAGGCTTATTTCGTCGTTATAAATAAATAAATAAACTAGCTGTAAGTGGAATTCTGTCTTAAGGCAATTAGGGCATCGTGCCTTAAGGCAAATTGCTGGAACTTCCCGTACCAAAAATTATTATTTTTTGTAAAAACGATTAACATTTTTGAAAAAAATTTACTTCGAAAAAATAAGATTTTTGAGAAACTATAAATTGGACAAAAAATTACTTTTTTTTGAAAAAAATTTTTTTTAAAAAAATTTTTTTTAGAAAAAATTTTTTAAAAAAATTTTTTTTTGAAAAAAAAAATGTTTTCTTCATTTTGACATATTTTGGAAAATCTGAACTTGTTTTTCAAAGCAATCGTACTGCTTTAACTGCATAGATACAAAATATAAAGCGCGTAAGCGCGGCGTCGCTGTCTAGCGGGTAAACATTGATACGGAACCCATAGAAAAATAAACAAAATTTATACTTATTGTTAAAATCTCTATAAAATATCTGAAAATTCGATGTGCATATGTCTAATGATCATTTTTGACCGCCAAATGGCATTTTTTTTTACTTTTTTCCTTAGATCTCCGAAACCGCTAGACCTGCCTTTATGAAAATTTGATCAATTCTTTATCTTGTCAATACAAGTAAAATGTTTTTTGAATTATTAAAATCGGACGCTCCGTTCTCTTAGAAACTGAGTTACCGTTTTCGGCACTTTTTGCCCCGTATCTCCGGAACGGCTAGACCTGCCTTCGCCAAAAACTAATCAGCACGTCTCCTTATCAATACGAATCGAATGTTTTTTGAATTATTCAAATCGGTTGATCCGTGTTCCCGAAATCGTCGACGAAAATTTGTATCCGCACATACATACACACACGTACATACATACACACACACATACACACACACATACACACACACATACACACACACATACACACACACACACACACACATACATCCATTTTTTCTAAGGTATGCCAAAATGTTCAGAAACCTCTGAAACGTAAAGATATATAAAAATTTTCATTTTCGATTTTTTTGCGATTACTATAACTTACCCTACGGGAAGTTAATAAATATATATATATATATATATATATATATATATTTATATATATATACACACACATATATATATATATATATATACTAGATGACCCGACAGACGTTGTACTGTACCCACGTCTACAATTCAAAAATTCTAAATTTTTTAATATCCTATCCTATACTTTTTAATATCCTATTTGATGTCCTGCTTTTGTGATTCATTTATGGTCTTAGCATAAGCAGTATAAAAAATTCATAAAAAAATAATTTAGTATCTGCAGTAGAAGAACAATATCACACTTGATTTTACCACACAACATAATTGCTTCAATAATTTAGTCTATAATTTTCATAATCTCGTACGATATATAAGTTGCTTTTTGGCAATTATAATTTCTAAACTACATTTTTCTCACAAATAATGCAAAAAACATTATTGTTTATGTTCAAATCTTTTGTGAATTAATTTGTAAAATCTAGTTCACTCTTCAATCTAAGATCAACTTGCTAAATATTCCATATCCAATGCCAAACAAATGAATTTTTGATACATGAAACAAAATTTATGTGAAAAAAAAATAATTTTTAATGTTAAATAATTTAGTAAAGTAAACCAAAATGCGACATACATAAGTTTAAAGAATAATGTGTATGCAATTTTGGACTTATTTCGTTATTTATTAAACTGAATTATATAGTTTTATCTGCCAAACATATACTGTTGACTGTATCTTACATTTTTCAATTTCTGGCACATCTCAGCTGCTTCTCGGCAATAATAATGTAGACATTACATTTTTTTTGTATATTATACTTATTCTAATATCATCTAGGCTCATAATTTCAGCTAAATTCAAATTTCAAGTGAATTGACATTTCTAGCAGATGACGGTTCAAATGTTTTCAATGTCAAACAATGATAAGTGGTTTTTTGTAATTTTTGACGTTTATTTTTACAAAATCACTATAGTTTCATCGTTCATTAAATCTTAAAAATTTTCTTTGACAAACTCTGGAAAAAATTATCAAAATCCGAATAACCGTTTAGGAGAAGTAGCAAATCATACACCCGTACAGAAGAATTTTATATATAAGATATATATTCT